TTTAGTTATATTTTATTTGTAATTGTATAAAATTTTGAAGAAAATTAATCTACTGTCAGATCACTATCGATTTTGCTGCATTTCTGTTGTCAATTTGCTGCAGATTTCCCTGTCAGCATGCTCTGCCACAGTTTTGGTGACAGTTTGACAGTATTATTAAATATAACAGATTCTATGTTATATTCTTTGCTTTTCTATTAAAAATTTGTAAAATTTTCGTTAAAAATTTACTTAAAATTTTTTTACCTAGATTTGGTTAGCTGAGTAATGTTTAACAGTATAATTTAGTATAGTATTTTCAATTTTTTTCTTATAATTCATATACATTTAATTTGTAATCTTCTTAATAATATCAATTATATTATAGGCAAAATAAGTTATTAAAATGACTTGTTGCGTGGAGGGATGCAATTCTAGGGGAGGCAAAAAAAATTCTTCAAAGAAAAGTTTGTTTACACCTCGCACAGTACGTATTATAAGAATAATTTTTTTTGTTCAAGTTTTTTACTCATATTTACGAATCTATAATTGAATATTTGATGTATGTTTTATATACAAATTATGTTTAATTGAAAATAAAACTAATTTCTTTTTATAGAATGATATGTTTACTTCTTGGTACACAATTATGTGTACTAAAAATATAAAAATAAACAAGAATAGCAGAATTTGCGAATTACATTTTAAGGCAAAAGATATTATTAAAGAGGATGCATTTGTGCAAACAAATGGAACAGTTATTTATGTACCAAGAAAAAACCCAAAATTAAAAGAAGGAGCAGTTCCTTCTATTTTTCCAATAATTAGAAAGTTATCATATTTTGAGCAAATAGAACATAACAACAGTATACATTCATTGTCAGTAAAAGAACCAATTCTTTCTACGTCGCATTTGATAGATGTTGACATGTTGCAAATAGAAGATGGATCTTTTACGCCGTTAAAAGAAACTGTTGTTAAGTTTTCTGCTAAGGATATAAATATTGGAAAAAATATTGAGGTTCCAACAAGTTATTGGTTTGCGAATATTAACCTTCAAACCGCACACATCGGTCGAGCACCCACTAATAGAATGATGGTGCGAATTTGGATTTGACATCTTAAATTGTACATATTTCCTGAGGATAAAAACAGA